AAAAAACTGGCTTTCCACCCCTGCCCTGGCTTTCAGTGCTAATTTGCCATCGGTGCGTATCAGCAGGTTTTTGGCAAGCTTACTCACTGTCGGAATTCTGTCATCGTTTTCAGCTGAGCAGTAGTAACACTTAATACAACAACAACTGGGTACCAGCAGCTGCGATATTGTAAGATATAAGGAAATAAAGAAGGAAATGTGAATAAATTAAAATTTGTCAAATGAAGGACTATTTCTCTTTTTTCGATCATTTCTTCCCTCCCAATCCATCGTCTTTTCCGTCTATTGTTAGCATAGCGTATATTTAAATACCTTTCTGTTTTCAGACGTCAAGATGAATTTTGGCGCAGTAATTTTAAAAAAAGTGTAAAAAATTTTTCTAAAACTGCTCGCTTTTCTACGATATTCGATTTCGACGAAGCATCCGGCACCAATCGTTAGAATTTCTTTGTATAACGGGTACTCCTCTGCCATAACCGTACGAGCATTTTCATCCATGCCTCTCAGGAGGTCGCCAAGTGTGAAGCAGCGATTGCTAAATTCAACTTCTACTCCTTGAGCGGTGTTTATAATTCCATTTAAACCTAACAAATAACCTGATTATTAAAATATTAAACATAACCTCGTAAATACTGTCATTTTTTGCTTCCATGTGGACAACCAAATCACAAAAATTTCTTTGGGGAACATTTGATGTGGTTTCCTTTGGTTGACACTGCGAAGAAATGTGTCGGGTGCCACTGATTTTGCATATTTCAGTGTTAACAAAGAGGATTCAAGGGCAGTTTTCAGAAAAGACACTAATGACCTTTTAATTGCTAATTAAGAATCAAAATAGTCTAACCACTACAGTTACTTTGATCAGCAGCAGTTCATAGCACTGTTTTCTGACTATGAAGCTCGCAACTTTTCCAGTTGCTCTGACCAGGGCCACATCGTCTGGTGGTCAGCTCAGTGACGGTTTCAGAATTCTTAACAATTATCTGACTTTGCAAAAGGCAGGACCATCGAACGTGGTCAACTTTTGTTATTTTTATGTTGGCTTATAAAAAGCTTAGTTTATCTTTGTGAATTCGGCTGTTTTTCATCGAATTCTGGTTTGATTGTCATCAAACAAACCTGGCCATCAAACGTCCTTTTGAACGAGCAAAAAGGTTTCGCAGTCTTGGTTCTCCCATTTTGTCATACAAAATTTCGTGCCGAAAAATTCGCAAAAGAAGACTATCGTTCTGTAAATTTCAAATATATGAGGATCCTACACATCCAAAAGTTGGCAAAAAATTACAGTGTGGCCTCTCACGCTAGAAAATAATCGAAGTTGATGAAACTGCCACATCGGACCAACAAAATCAGATTTTTGGCGGATTTAGGGGACTGCCAGTGAGTTCCTAGAGTCCTGTAGCCCATCGAATTAGTTCATCAGTTAGATGCATTCAGTGACCACTTCCCGTTAGGCATCTGAAAGGGCGGCCTTTGCTTGCCTTAAATAAGGAAGCCGGAGCGAACACCTTCTGCCTATTTTAAAAGCCAATTCCTCCACAGTTCGTTCATCCATTTCATTGTTAAAATTGGTACCAACACACGCCCTCTGTCAACTTGCTTCTCAGCAAAACGTTAAAAGAAGAGCCACCAACGGTAATTGCCGTTGGCGTTTGCTATTATTTAGCACTGGGAAATTTTTTAAAATGCTACTAAAAATGCTAGTGGAAATAATCAAATTGACAGCGTTAGGAGATTGCTTTCTGAGTGCTTTAGACTAGTTTCTGAGCGCTTTCGACCTCTCACAGCGAAAAAGTACGGTGTTTTAAGTTTAACTTTAATTATCCCTGATACATTGCACCTCAAATAAAATGCACAATAAAAGCACTGAAAATACATACATACATTCTGAGACCTTCCTGTTCTTACCCTATCTTTAAATGAGTCGAGCAAAAAATCAGACCCTCTTCAGCCTTCCTTTGATTTCTTGTCTATGTCGAATTATTTGATAAGCAAAGAATGGTGCAATGCATTGTTCGCCGCGGAAATTGTGGTCTCTCGGTCCGTAATATGGAAAACGCCGACGCTGCGGGCTTGTCTGTGGCACCGGCCAACATGGTATCTAAACCGTACAACATTAAAAGGCAAAAAAGCTCTGTCGTACCAACAACGACACAATTACACTTAAAAACTGCTTAGTTTCTACTGCTTCTTGAACTAACATTATTATCTTCACAAGCCAGGAAGCACGGCTTCCAGAGGTTGTAGCGTGGTCCACCATCACCTCGGAATACCCGTTCACGATCCATTCGATCAGCGCCAATATCTTTGAATAGATCGATAAGCCTGTGTATTCATATACTACTTATACATAAAATATTCAGCAGCTACCACAAAATTCCAAATCAGACGCATTAGTCAATGAATGTCGTGCACTACTGATTGGTACTTACGAGAAAGTAAACAACATCCCGGGTGATTCCCGAAGAAATGGCGCACATACATCGAAAAAGCGGTGGAGGTGTGCAGCAACCTAGGATCGAAGGGATCGGCAAAGACGCGCACATCGGTGGGAGCATCTCAGTAAATCATTAACAGGAAACACTCATATCGCACGGACTTTCGTGTCGTCCTGAACGCTTGGCACAATTAATTTGTCAACATAGTCAAAGAAATTTCATGTATTTTCATAACAAACTAAACAATGCGATAAGAATTCTCACTGCGCCACTCAGCTCCCCATTGATACACTGATGTATTCAAATTTTGCAATTTCCGTGTAGATTTTTTTTCTGCTTTTGTCTTGCTTCTAGCCAATAATCCACCGGAAATTATGAGCAGGGCACAAATATATGTTGTGGGTTTTACGACGCTTGCTGAGAAAATTTACCTTGCTGGGAGGTTTCCGCGATCACGAAGGCGGCACCTTCACGGTGAGACCGGCACATTGCACTTTCGGTCCGGTTGACCTGTGTGGCTACCTCGAGTTGGGTAGGCCAGCAGCACAATTTTTGCGTTAGGGGCTGCGTTCGCGCTCCCCCGTATAAGGTGACTGCTAAAAGTCAAATGGACCACTCGCAATATGTTTTGGGTTATGTGCAAATTTAAATAATTTCAACTTCATTTTAAATGGGAAGTTTGAGGGTAGACGGAGGAAAAATTTCATCCTCCTAGCTCTTCTGCTTTCTAAGTTAACACTTTTCCCGCCAAAACTTTGGCACGCTCCAAGCGGGCCTCAAACGTACGTGAGGATTGGTA